GCAGCGGTATTATTATGAAGATAACACTAACACTTATCGTCCTCGAAGGAGTGGTTTGTGTTAGCAGCAGTAGTAGTAGTAGTAGTAGCAGCAGCAGCAGCAGGAGGAGGAGGAGGAGGAGCAGTAGTAGTCGTCGTCGACGTCGTCGTCACTGCCGCCGTCATAGTAGAAGCAGCAGGGAGTTCTAGTAGCAGTGCTGCGGCGGCAGCAGCAATCACAACTGCAACTACAACCGCAGTTTTTCTCAATAGGACAATGTGCTACAGCGGACACTGATCTCGCAGCAGGTGACGAAGTCTTATTGTCATGGTTTCAATCTCAGTGGGTGCAAGCATTGATTGACCGCATTTGGTCACACCGGAACGTATCGCACCCTAAAGCCCTCAACCCTGAACCCGAAACCCGCAAGCTGCTTCAAGGCCTTAAACCCAAAGCCTCATTCGGCCAATTCGGCCCTGAGCTATAAATCACGTGCTCCCGCAGAGTGCTTCATCATCATGCTGATACCTGGGACAAAGATCACGGTCATAAGCCAAGTGCAACTTCGTCAGTAGAGAAGGACAACGGTGTCAGACACGATGGGAGGCCTATGCATTGACCGGTCTAGACTTGGACCTCGTCACCATCCGAAGAACCTATACTGCAAACAAGCACTCGTTGGCGAAGCAACCTCAATACCAGCAACATAGCCTTAAAGCTTTGCACATGGCACTGTAAACGTTGAAACCTAAACACAAAGCAGCTGGGAGGTCATCTTCCGGCATCGAATCGAGTGTGGCCGAGCAACCGTGAGGCCCCGCTTCATGGGGATTCTGAAATAATTACTTTCAACTACTACAACCTACTTTTTTGTTGGTTATTGGTCACTCTTGGGGCTGCCGGCTGAGGGCTTCACGAGGCTTCTGTTCTGAAGTTTTACGGTTTCGGGTTTAGGGTTTAGAGGTTGAGGGTTTAGGGTTTAGGGTTTGGGGTTTAGGATTAGATGCAAGTTTCTTCCCGAACTTTTGCTGTGGAAGCGTCGTATATATATATATATATATATATATATATATATAGAGGAGTTGCAGTACGCGGCTGCGGTTTTGCTTAGCATTGCGCGATGTCATAATGATTGTTCCCTTGCCCCCTGATGCATCATGTAAGTGCAGCAAGCTCTTTTCCACAACATAAAACTTTTTCTAACTGTTCTGACTGGTAAGGCCTCGGAACGAGGCACTTGTAGTCACGCAAGAAGTGCAAGCATGCAGAAGTCGACGAGTTCCAAGCCAGAAAAGATGCTGTAAATCGAAAAGGCCGAGAATCGAACTTGCGCGAAATCGACAAGCTCGAAACAAACACAGGGACGTGCGCAGGGTCGAACATTCCAACGCCTAAACCCACACTAAGCCCTAAACCAACCTTGTGCTTTTTTTCCGACTTTTCTCTTGCGATGTCGTGGGTGCTCCGGCTGGCGGAGCCAAGACCGGCTTGGGCGCTTAGCAAGACAGCTCCAACCGATTTAGGGTTTCGGGTTCTAGTTTTTTGGGTTTTAGAAGGGTGTAGGGGTTAGGGTTTCAGGGTTTAGGGGCTTAGTGGTTTTGGGTTTAGGGGTTTTAGGCTTTAGGGTTTTAAGGTTTAAGGGTTTTAAGATTTAGGGGTTTTGGGGGGTTAGGGTTTTAGGGTTTGAGGGATTGGGGTGTAGGGGTTTGGGTTTTAGGGTTTAGGGATTAAATTTTTTAAGGGTTCAGGGTTTCGGGTTTAGGGACCCCTGGGCCCTGAAGCTCCGGGCTGGCAACTCCAAGCCCCAAGCTTTAATCCGAAGCTCTAAATCCCACAGACCTGTCATTAACTTGAGAGTTTAGGGTTTAGGGTTTAGGGTTTAGGGTTTAGGGTTTAGGGTTTAGGGTTGGGGAAATGCAGAAGCCCAGCCTAAAAACCCTAAACCCAAACAGCACGGCAAACTTGAACATGTGCAGGCTCGAGGCCACGTCGCGGGTTGTGGCAGTCAGTCCTCATGCTCGCAGCTTGCAAACATTGGTTTAGGCTTCAGGGCTTCGGGCTTCGGGATTCGGTTTATAGCACCCTAAACCCTAAGCCCTAAACCCAAAACCCAAAACCCTAAACCCTAAACCCAAAATCCCAAACCTTTAGGGATTGGGGTTATAGCAACTTCATAGGGTTTTGTAAGTTTTTTTTAAAAATCATCTTTCAGGGCTTATCGGGCTTGCGACTTCAGGCCCATGGCAGCGCAGATATACAGGGCGTAGTGTCGCGAATTCTGAGAGGCCTATACTGGCACAGATGCAAAAGGACTCCACCCACTGCCGTATTTGTGTTTTCGGCTTAGGGTCTGGGTGAAAGGTAGAGAGACTCCGGCTTCCTCCGTTTCTGGGTTCCTGTAAAGGAGCTTATTTTCAGTTACCCTGATAAGAAAACCACAGTATCCTGTAAAGGAGCTTAATTTTCAGTTACCATAATAAGAGAACCAAAGTATGCTCGGTAGATCCCCTTTCTGGGAAGATAGGTTCCTTGCCAAGGGGCAACCCTAAGCCCTAAACCCTAAACCCTAAACCCACCCCTAAACCCTAAACCCTAAAGCCACCCCTAAACCCTAAACCCTAAACTGCTCAGGGTTTGGGATTCTGGTTTTGAGTTGCTAAGAGGCACAGACAGGCAGTCTGATCCTGAGGTTCACAGTTTAGGGTTTAGGGTTTAGGGTTTAGGGCAAGACAAGATCATGATTATTGTTACTATTATGGTTGTCATCATCTTAGCTTTTAGTGTCGTTACTCATTAGCGCTATTCTCATTGTTCTTACTACAGCCATTATTGTTATTATTACTTTTGGTTGGGGCGGGGGTTTCCGGTTTCGGGTTCAGGATATAGTGTAGACCCAGCCATCTCCGGTCTGCAATCAGGTGTTCCCTAAGGGTACATGTGCCCAAATAGTATATACATTGGCCGTAAAGTACCTATATAGGGTCTACATGAAGGCCAAAGTATATACTATTTGGGTACATGGATCCTTAGGGATTGTGATCGGGGATCAGAAGTCTGTTTTTGAGTCAGGGGCTTCCATGATTGCATGAGTGAGTAGTGTTGTGTAGTCATGGTACGGGCAGTCGTCACGGTCGTGATGAAAGCTGTCGTAAATTTGGATGAATCGTAAAACCACTGATGGCAATATCAACCTCAGCGATTTTGGTGCCTGTGTCATACTTTTGGCAGTTACAAGAGTCCTTGTGGGTCAGCTGCTATGAATGCAATGACAATGACAAGAGTGTAATGCGGGTAAGTTGTAGGAAAAGCGTTTCTCGTCTGGCAGCACTTGTGAGCCGCTCTGAAGTTTTCCACGGTGGACATCGCTCCGGCTTTACTGAACAACACGCAACCTACCTGCGAACGGGGTCTTGAATGTGCAGGGTTGCTCTAAGTTATGGTCCCTTGTGGCCTTCTGGGAGCTCGGTTTCGCAAACCATTCCGAATAACTGTCTGGTGCTTAGTAGGGAATGGCGGAATGGGTCATAGGGACTACTATAAGGGACCTTATGGGACTATCATAGGGATCCATTCCCCCATTCCATACTAAGCACCAGACAAATAAAGGTAACTTGCAGGCAAAAGGCCCAAACCCAAAGCCTCGACGCAGCGCGCGTGAAGGGAAGGACACAGGTACGAAAGACCGTATGCATGCTTCGGATACCCTTGAAAAAACCCCGTCGACCTTGTATGACAATTTCGTCAGGCCTTTTACATGTACTTGTTTTATAAGTTTTATAGAACTGTCCTCTAATTCGACTTCACGCCGGAGAAACTGGTTCTCACATGACCGACAGCTTGGCATTTATGACGTGCTGCTGCTTTTTTGAAGCAGCATACGGGTATATTGCTGCTACCAGTACAGCACGGTTCTTATGACTACCACGAGGTTGTCGAACAGGACGATGCAAAAGGCTAGCCGTACTCCTGATGATTCGCGGTGCTGACATGTTTACGGCGATGATAGTGGCCACGAACTTGTTCTGACTATGATGATGGTGATCACAACCAGTACAGAGCTTAGCCTAGAATCTGGAAGGTTGAGTAATATAGGGGGTATCTTATATTAGGCATCCGAGTCTCAACCCTCAGCACTAACATGCGGAAACCATCCCTACCATCCCCTCAACCCTAAACGCACCTAAGCCCATAAAGCCAAAAGCCCTAAGCCCTAAACTTTCATCCCGAAGCCTAAAACCCCTTATAGAGAGAGATCGTGTATAGGACCCTTCTCGAGCCCCTCATAGGTTTGGGGCTTCGGGTTTAGGGTTTAGGGTTTAGGGCCCATGATAGGATGTATCCCTTCACTCAGGTACGGGAAAGGCCGCGCGGAGGGGTCCGCGTCCCCTTGCACAAGGCGGTCCACTGCAGTTGATGGGATACTCGAACACTTGGAGGATCATGGGACTTAGTAAGTAAGGTTTTTTAGCCCTTTCATTGGGGTTATAAGTATAGTTACCTCAGTCATAACCCTACTTACTAAGTCCCATGATCCTTTAAGGATGGGAGAGGGCAGCTCTTAGTACGAGGACCGTGGGTTTGGCGCGTAAATGTAGGGGCGTAAATAAATAATGAGCAATACTAATTTTTGGGGGTTCCTTGTTATAAATATAGTATAAAGGGCCCCCCCAAAAAAACCCTATTCTAATCTTTAAGGCCCCTATATTGTCTTGGCAGGAGAATCATGTATAGGGACTCTACAGGGAAAGTGTCACTAGCTATTTGCATGAGGATAGAGCGTGCAATGTCGACAGCTCCTCCGGTTCAGTGAGCTTGGCTCAAGCCTGGTAAGTCAAGGCCCAAGCAATCGCCTCCTGCACTGGTTCCCGTCAGAGTTGCAGCGGTCATGTCAGACTACGACAAGATCAAACTCATCAAGGAGTCGCCGTAAACTCGAAAGCCAGAAACCCTAAACCCTATACCCTAAGCCCCTGAAGCCCTAAACGTCGAGGAGTATGCGCCGGACCTGGCCGCTACCGTGGTCGTCACGGCGGTGCTTGTCCTCGCCGCCTACTTCCTCACCAACCTGATGGAGCCAAAGGAGTCTACGAATGGCCATGCCAAGAACGGCAAGAACGGCAAGGAGGCCACGAATGGCCACGCCAAGAACGGCAAGGATACGAATGGCCATGCGAAGAACGGCAAGGAGGCCAAAAACGGCAAGAAGGAGGAGACAAGTGAGGAAGTGAACCTCCTGGCAGAGTATGGCCGTGCCTGGTGCCTACATCAGTTCGTGCCCTTCGTTGACAAGCTTGTCTTGGGCAGCTATGGCCAGGCCCGGAAAAACCCTAAACCCCAAACCAGCCCAGATCCCACATCCAAGAATTTCAATCCCAAAAGGTGTGGTCTAGAGTCGGGGCTTAGGTTTAGG